GCACTTCTCTTCCCTTCTATTGCTGAAGGAAATTGCTGGCAAGCCTTTTAAAAATAGAAGGATCAAATAGACATAAAATGTCATAGTGAGCTTTCTAAAGCAAAAATAATCTCCCATATTGTTGCGGCACATGGATGCTTTCAGTGTGAAATTGAGCCAGTCCATTTCTTACATGCAGCGAGTACTTGCAAAATGCCTTTCCCATACTCTCCCAGGCTCACTTCTGCAATCCATCCTCGGTACTAGAGACCCTCAAAGCAGAAAACCAGATTCACTCCATGTCAGCTAAAGATCATAGGTCTATAGTTCGGTTCTATGACAAACTCTTCTTCTTTGAGAACTGGTTTTGGAAGCAGTAACAAACACAGTCTTCATCTAGAAGCCAGGGAGGTCAGTGATATGCAAAAATCCTGGCAAACAGCATATAGCTGTTAATACTTTTTTCTTAGGGAAGATTTTCAAATGAGTTTTAGGTTAGAGATACCATGAGTTCCAGAATAATGCATTCAATAATTGTGAATACGACTGCTGAAATAATTCTACCTACGAAAGAAAGAAATACAGTATTTGTGCATGTATTTGCACAGATTCAGACTTGTTCTGTCCGCGCTGTGAGATAACTAAGCATCAGCCTGCTCTGATCCAGAACCCTCATAGCTGCAATAGCCAGCTGAACACAACCACGCCAGCAAACTCTGTCACAGCAGCTTGCTCAACCAGCTAAATGATTTCAAGGATATGGCAATTGGACAATATGGGCAATTTTCTTTTGCACTTCAACAAGGCTGTGACCATACCCAACGCTTATGACCTGGTTCTTGATTTGCTTTTCATGACTTAGGTTGCTTATTTATTATCCTGATCAAGAAAAGCAAGGCAGACCATTTCCTTCTCTTTATTTGAACAAAATTCTTGCCAGTTTTAATTTCAGGTCTGCTGCTCCAGCCCAAAGTTGCATGCATAGCTTTCAAACACTGCAGAATAATGTTTATTTGTGCTAGGATATTTTTCTAATCAAAAGTGGAAACCCAACACGAACCACATCTATCTGTCAGTAAGACTTCAGTAAGTGTAGTTTTGCAAGATTCTTGATTTTGTGTCAACTGTCTCCATTTTACTTCTACATCTGTGCATAGTTATTATTTACATAATACACTACAACAAATATCTATGAAACCAATTGTGTATTTATGCAGGGTTTTTTTAAGTCTATTATGTAGCCTGGGCTCCTTGTCAGGTTTGACTCATGTAAATGCTTACAGAAAGAAACTGCACTGTCAGCACTGCCAGTGCAGTGAACTTACTATTCTTTCCTGCAAATTCCCCTACCGAGAGGGTCTGTGCCTGTCGAGGGAGGCACAACACAAGCATTGCAAACCAAAGAGGACAGACCCCTTACCTCTGTCTAGTGTGGAGGCCTTTTAGATGCAACCTTCAAATCCAAATTCTTCTCTACTTTTTATTCCAAGACAGTTTTATTAAAACTCAGTATTTTTTTTTACTTTTTTCCTCAACATCTCCTGCTGTTCATCAGTGTCCGAGTGCGATGCTCTACCAGGTGACAGACGCATTTCAGGTGTGTTTACTTGGGGTGTGTACAGACCAGGCATTAGAAATGCATTGAGGTGCCCATGTCTGAGCCAGCGAATGTGATCACACAGCTCCTTAAATCCTCCTCCATAACGTGACTGCACTCTGCCACCCATCTGAGCTCCAGGTGCTACCTTGAGCTTCAGTTTTTAACCTACCAGTAAGACTCAAAGTACATTTTTGGCCTATATGCCATACAGAGAAAAGGAGGATGTTCTGTCCCAGATTTTGTTATATTTTGGCATTCACACTCCTAAACATAAATTGTTAATGTTCAAACAGATCATACTTTTCACAAGCTTGTTCCATGCACTGCCTGATTTCCCACACATTTCTCACCTGCCTCTTTAACTTGCCCCTCCGCAGACATCAGACATCCACCCCAGGTCTCTACAACCTCCAGTTTCTCTGGATATCTGCACTTTAACCCTTACTCTCACCTTTGTGATATTTCCCAGCTCTTTGCTTTGGTCCTGTCTTTCTCCCCTCCAGTCTCCCACTGAACTACTTGCAGCTCTTTTGCTAGGGTTTTTCAGGCTCTCCAATATTTCCTTCTCACATCTCCACCTCCCTGGCCCACGAGCGTATGCCGTGCACAGGCTTATTAACTACCCACCCGCTAACACGGGGAGCGATGAACAACAGACGAACCTTGATTGTGTTTCCCCCAGGAAGAGCAGGATCTGTATGGTTGAGTACCAGCTACCGCCTGTCATCAGACTTTTCCGAAGCTAATGTCATTGAGATTTCACCTTCCACGTTTGGTTGAAACAGGCTAATGTATGCCAAAAGTAGAAAGCAAAGACAGACAGAAAACCACATTAAAAACAAATGCCTAAAATTCCTACGCCCATGAAACGTGATATCTCATTTTTAAAAAAGTTAGATAAAAATAATGACCGTTTTCAAAAGGAGTGTACTGCCTATACTGAGGTCTAAGGTCTGAACTCTAGCATCCATTTGTTTAAAAATGAGTCATTATAATTACTTTCATTTTCCATCAGATTTTCTCCCTCTTCTTCCTCTCCTCCCAACACTCCCTGCGAAAGGCCTTGGTAAAAATCTGCATGGGGACTCCACCACCTCCTCAGTACCACATTTCAGCTGGCCAGAAATAAAGGAATAGAGCATTAAATTAAATATGGTCTCCCACACAACCGCGCTGTACATTCCTCCCTTTAGAGCACTCCCAGCTGAAGCAGGCAGTGCACGACATGGCCGGCTGAGGTAACAGAAAAAAGCCCACTCGAACAACAGCTCAGTCCCCTCCTTCTTCCCCACCTTCATCAAACTACAGAAAATAGAAGGGCATTTTACTTCCCTGAACCTTTCACCCATTTCACCAGGAAAAAAAAATCTCATTTTCATCCCAATTAACCCATAATAACCGGCAAGTCTTGAGAGAAGATATCTGAAGCATATATGGGAACATATTTCCTCCAGATTTAGATCCATTTAAAGATGCTGTACAAAAGTGTGAACAGAATGGTTTGAGAGAAATAAATACGAAATGCCATGCTGATACTGTAAGTAATTTCAAAATGCATTGAGGCTGGATAATCTTGCCCTGGCCCTGACACAACGGTGCCGCTGTAGTGTCAGGATGCTCATAAAGATGTAAGGAAACCCTCGGGGAAGCACGCAGGGCTCATCGACAAGTAACCCACCTGAGAGTGCCTTCCTGGCAGAGGAATGGCTGCAGGAGCACACTCCTGTGCCTCGCTCCTTCCCAGGCTATGAGGTTTCACTTCACCCACAGAAGCCTGAAAATCTGCAATGATAATGAAAATGTTAATGCAATCCCAGCTACCTCAGTACTAGTGGGGCTAACTATTAAAATCTCATGAAAAACATAATGAAGCTTTTTTTTTTTTTAATTTTTATGCACTAACCACAGAAGAAGGCAATTTTTCAAAACCATTCACTACAGCTGACTAATAGTTTTGCACATTACAGGAATCCACAACTAACTGATGAATGCTGATAAGCTGTAAACCATTTCTCTTCTTGTAAATATTGCAAAGTGTCCAACAGTGCTGCTAATACTGCTGCAATAAAATCAATTAAAAAAAAATAAAAGAAAGAAAAGCTAAAAGTGTTTCAGAAGTACAGAGAAAGTCTTTCCACTATTTTTCACATTTATGTTGCTTTCCTTCCTCTCTCTGGAAAAACGAGAGTCATGCAGCTATGTTTTTACGGGCTGCAGTCTGGTGGGATCGCGGTGTTTAAACTGCACTCATCCTAGTTACAGCTTAAACAGCAGGGCCCTAAAGGAACCGCAAAGTACTGGGGAAGGTTTTCAACTCAGCTCAGGGCGTTTTGCTCCTTGAATCAGAGCTGAACCAATGTACCTTTAAAATATTAGGCGACACAGAGCTTCTGTTTTAGATAAGCTACAGCTCAGAGAAAACTGATGGGCAATATTGCTTTGCCAGAGCAGTGGTGATGGGGCAGGGAAGACAAAAAGCTAAGCAGCCTCTCCCCACCATGTAACCGGGAAAACAGCTTGCACTACACTGGGCTGGTGCCGATGTAAATATCTGCCCAATTATATTTTTTCTAAAGTAAAGATGTGAATTCTGCCATCCAATGAACTTGCATTTTGACTCTGTAAAAACAACCCCAATATGAAAGCATTGAGCTATTTTAAATGGTGAATACCATTGAAAGTACAACAGAACAGAAATGAATGTTTACCTGAGAATCATAAAACTTATTAAAAACAGTAATGGGTGAAATACAACCTTGTAAGGGGGGCAGCACAGGCTGTACATCACTTAAGCCCTACTTAAGGCCTCAGAATAGGATTTAAGTGAAACTTAGCTGGTGCATGACATTTGTGCTGACACTGTGCAGAGCTGAGTGCCACCCATTAATGACTTAACCCTTGCAAGCAAGCATTCCTTTGTGGATCATTACTTTTATTGCATCCATAGCTTTTGAAAAAAAAGGACTGTCTTTTGCACTGCTGTTTCACATTATGAGGAGGTTGGTGGCACGGTCATCTTCAGATATTTCCACTTCTCATTCTCATGCTTCTCTATGCTATGGCATGACACCCTGTCCTCTCATCCTGTTACCTGGGTCAGCAGAAGTATTGCTACTGGAGACCTTTTAGCATGAAGCCGCAGCTTCAGTTAATTGATTCCATGAGCCGTATAATGCTCACTGGTACATCTTGCAGTACTGGGTACACAGGGCAATTATTCAATGGAGGTTTGCTGCTTCCCATTTTGACAACTGCTGCTCCTCTTTTCAAGAGAAATTCACAGGGGAGCAAGGAAGAGCCCAAGGAAAAAGAATTAAACTAAAACAACCAGGAACAACAACAACAAAATCTCTGATAAACCAGAACAGAACAGCATGTAAGTGCTACTCTCTAAAGCTTTATATCTATCTCACCCTCTCAGAGCACGCTTTGGAAATCACAGGCTTAGAGAACGGGGGCCTCTGTGACGTCCGAGCATCCGACTGCACCAGGATCCGGGTGTTTGGCCTCGGCTTCAAAGAGTCGCCCAACCTGCACTGCGAGGTCACCAGATTAATTGTAAGCAACTTCCCATGGGCTCGTGAAGTATTGATGATACAGTCAAACTTCGATGTGTTTATATTAAAGTCTTTTACCCTCAACCGTGCCAAGTGCCATCATCTCTCACTGCCACAGCGAGGTGCAAATACCTCCAAAACCCATTGCCAATACATTTGCTACGAGCGAGGGGAGCTGAAGAGATTCATCCCTTTCCAGGACTGGTTCCTTGGAAATGCACAGCTATACCTTCTTGCTAATTTTCTCTGCGGGATTTTGTTTAACTCTTGTTTGGTTCAGCTGCACTGTAGTCTGGTGAAGCTTGAAATCACAATATTATTTCTCATTTTGTGCATCTGGAATCGGTACGCTTGGTTGTTTTTCTAAACACATTTGAATGCTAAGTTTTGTGGTTAAATATAAGGTTTCCTCAACATAGTTACAGAGGCTCTTATTTGAATTTTTGTAGTCATAGTTCGATACTGATTCAGAAGTTTTAATGAGTATTAAACCCATCTCTTCTGCTAACATTATAATTTTATTATAAAACAACCATACACAGGCAATTCTAGGACTGAATTATTTGGCATATCAGCATACTCAGATATGAAGTGTTTGATTCATCTCATAAATCCACCTCATAAAAGATATTCAGCCTGATTCCCATTCAGTGCTAACATGCTAATGAGGCACAGCTGAGGTTTTCCTACCATGCCCGCTTAGGGCTCCGTAGGCTCTTAACAAGCAGTGATATCTTTTGCAGCTGATCTAGATAAGTAGCTGGCATCGCCTTCAAGGAGCAACGAGCTGGCTCCAGGAGCAAACACAAAGTCGCTCCACCACATTACCCTGTCTCATCCCAGCTGCTCATCCCAAGCTCAGACCACAGCGCTTCCTAAATCAATAGACCGCTTGCATGCATAGATGAGCATGGCTTGCTCTTTTCTGTGGCTATAGTAACAGCAACATTTCTTTTAAATAAACCATCTGGAAATGCCTTATATTATTAATTAGAAATATAAACATATGTTGACAACTGGAATTTCTTTATATGAGCCTTCAGTTTATGCACTCTCCTTCTGTTTTACTGTAGCATCTCAATGGCGAATGGATATCAAGAGAACAAGAAACCACAAAAGCAGGTTTTCTCAGCTCTGAGGCTGTTGACTGCCAGATTCCTCTCCTGAACATCACAGAGACAGAGGCTGTGCACTTTGTGGCCGGTGATGAGCCGTTCGCAAGATGGCAAGTGAAAGTAGGAATTTCTTATGTTTCTAAGAAATTATTTAGAAGGAGAAAATCAGTTGTCATGGTAAATTAAAATGCAAAGCACAATTTGCTTCCCTTCAGAAATGAAAATGCCTGTAGAAATACTCACGTTAATGTCATGTAAGGAAAAAAAAATAACACCAACCAAAACAATATGAGTTAAAAACAGGTGTCTTTGTAGGCAATCCAAAAGTGCAAATTACAATCACTTCTCCCGGTAATCACCTGAGATTGATGCAGTTGTACTAATTAATTGTTAAACATTAGTATTTCATTTCTGGAAATGCCAGCTCAAAGTCCCGATTAGGCAGCAAGTATAAGACGGCTTTGACTCCCTGGTTGCAAGGCTGATGCTTGCACAGTGCAGGAGCAGAGCACTGGCTGGCTCCTGGGCAGCAGGTGAGGGCTGGCATGGCGTGAGCAGAGGTGTCATGGTCATGGTCTTGGGAGAAGCGTGTGCAGTACCTTCTCACGCCAGGTTCTCTGCGGTGGTTTTAGCCCCTTTTGTTCACAAAATGACACCTACTTTCTAAATATTTCCAGGAAGTCAGTGCTTTACTGACCCTGCGCCTGCTACCCTTGGTCTTGCTGTCAGCCTGGATGGTTATTTTCTGCAGATTGCTTGGGGTTTTTTAAGGCTGAGGTCATTTAAAGGCTCTATAGCTAAGAAAAATATATTGCCATGGTAGAAAGACTGCAGATGTGTTTTGAAAATTGCAGCATGTAGAAACAAAAAGCATAAAACACTCACTTCACTGCGGTGTTACTGCCTGTCCTGCACCCCACAGCTGTCTGTACCCCAGACTGGGGACAAGTGCTGCCATGTGGCTTAGGGGAAACAGAAAGATGTTTGGAGCTGCATGTTTTCTATCCAGTAATTTATTTTAAATAGATAGGGATTTATGTTTTAAGAGATTGGTGTAAGACCTCTGTGGAAGCAGAGCTTGACTGTTGGCTGCTGTGGTGCACCTTGAACCTACCTTCTGGAGAAGAAGCCATCAGAGTGGGCAGACACCAAGGCTGAACCAGGAGGGCAGTTCCTCTGCTTAGGGCTCCAAAATTTCCCTAAGGAGATACTGAACTTTGCCAACTGTGACATGAAAAGCCACCTCATGATGGAAGGATCCAAGAGGGAAACACGCTTGAGTTTCATGGCCTAAGAGGACAGCTAACATTTTTGCACGTGCACAGAGCCATTTCTCCAGCGTAACTAGGATAGCTTCCTTGCAGCTCAGGTCTATTACAATACAGTTTGCTTTCAAGTGCTGCCTTTCAGCACTGAGGAGGTCTGTACCATTTTTCTTATTTTTCCTCTCAAAACATGTGTAGAATGTCTCTTTCCTTGCACTCGAGTTCAAGAAAACCTCTGCACCTGTAAGCCTTCTGCACCTTCCCTCTCCCTCAAACCCTGCAGAAAAAAAAGGTTATGCAGCGAACGGACAATTAAATCATCTCAGTCCGGCCCAACCGGCTGCGTGTGAATCCTAGTTCTCCTGTGGATCTTTTTGCTGAAGGAATTGGGAAGGCAGAGCTCAGCGCTCGGTTTCAAAGGCAGCTGGCCTTACACGATGGCACAGAGAACAAAATAGTGGAGTTTTTCAACATAAAAAATGATTTGAAACGAATTCCACAGATGTTAAAAAATTTGTGCTCCAGAAAATTCCTGGTAAGACTTACTGCAACATTGATCTTCTGGTTTATGTTAATAGATACTTTTTAAAGATTTAAATAGATACTTTTTAAAGATTTTTCAGAACCAAAAATCAAAACAATTCTTTCTGGAAATATCACTGTTCAATATTTTCAGAATCTCTCCCCCCTCCCAAATCAAATTTGAGAGGAATCAGCAAAGATTCACATCAGCTTTTTTCACTACCAACCTTGGGAGAATGGGGGCTTGACAAGCTCTTCTCAGTGTTCTTTCATTTTGTCTGCTCTTGTACTCATGTTTCAGACTTTGCTCATTCTTTCCATGACATGCTGCTGAACGTAGATAAGAAAGTACATGGGGTTATACAAACCAGAGCGTTTGGTATAATTAGTTTAGATATCAAAATACAAACTCCTACTTGGGCAGCGATGACTTGGGCTGTCCACACAGATTCCTGAGTGAAGAGGTGAAAGAGCTTGGCAGGCACTTACCTAATTAGGTCTCTTGCTTATCCTCAATTCATTATCGTTGCCTGTATTTGTCAAGAGCAGAAAAAATATTTGTTAAAAAGTCAGCAAGGCAAAAACCAAATTTGAATTCAGCAAGTTTTTACAGCTTTCATCTTCCATTGACAAACATTCGTACGAGTCAAATTGTATGTAGATTATGAGTGACACAAATAGCCAAGATTGTTTCAAGGTGAATGAAATACTTCAGGCAGAAGCGACAGATTTCCTGATTGTCCTGACTACGTATCCAGAAGAAGTGGCTCTTTCTTTCCAGATGATACGTATGTTCAAGCAATCAAGGCACAACTCTAAGCGTGTCTTTGGCTTTTAAGGGCCAACCGAATTTGAAGAGAGGTTTGCTCAGCTTAGGTCTTGTTGAAGTGTTTGTTCCACATCACTAAGGTGACTAATGGAAAAGCAATTAAAATAGTTATAAAACAACCCAATTCTAAAAAGACATCAAAATGGATGTTTATAATAGAATGTAGGAAAAAATACAGATTAAAAAAAAAATCAAATTGGCAAGAGTTACATTTCAGACAGAACAATTAGTGCAATTTTATAGCTTTTTATATTTTTCCCTGTCTACCCATTTCTTCACCCATTATTAGTGCACTGGTATTGAGACAACATTCGGCGCTCCAGTAAAAGAATGAAATGAAATGTAAATTGCATTAGGAATAATATATTCTTAATGGAAGTCTTGCTGCCAATAAGCACTGTCTTTCAGTGAAGAGCAGGTCTGGAGGGGGGTTGCCTGTTTTATTTTTTTTTCCTCTCAAACCGCAGCATAAGTTCTTTACTTCTTTTAAGAGGTTTTTACCTTTAGTACAACACACAATATCTAACATCTCGACTCATGAGTATGATGCACAGGAAAAAAAATTGTTTTTTCCTTAAAGTTATACCAAATGAATTTTACTTCAATTTAAATTAGTCCAAAGTTGTCTTTCTTTCACAGTTTCAAATTGTGAATACCCATGAATACTGCCTGATCACCTCCTTGTGTTGGTTTCTGCAGAAATGCTCTTAGCCCGCAGTGCATTTTGAGTTGAGAACTATCACATGTGAAATTGTGGGAGTATCTACTGTATTATGTTCCGTGAGCTTTCAGATCATTCTTAGTGAACTTATGATAATTGACGCTTTTTAGGAAACTTATTAAAGTAATTTTTACTCTGTGCACTTCCAGTTATCTTTGTTCAATTTAACATACATTCTTTCTGTCAACTGAAGCAGTTTATTAATTGATCAAAAAACTTTATACTCTTGTCCTTGTAAAAGTCCTTTGTAAAGGGACTGAGGATGTTTCAGCTTTGAGGTCACAGAAGAGATGGAGGAGGGCTTGGGGGTTGTTTTTATAGCAAGAGGACAGAAGGGGTACCTGACTGTTAGATCTGCTAAACAGCAGCTTTAGTTTGACTGTGAGAAGCCGAAACCTAAAAAATACCTGACAGAAAGGGCTTTGCTTTCCTGCTGGTGTTCATCAGTGTGTACAGCATGGCTTTCAGCAGTATTTTGGGGTGCTCTTCAACGTTCATACGTCTCAAGAGGTGTCACAACGCTTTCTCAAAAGCTAACCCTTTCCACACTAGTCTGGTATCTTTTCATTTTTATTGTAGAAAAATTAAAATATAAACTCACTTGACCCTTTCTTATTGTATAAGCATTCACATATGAAAAATGCCATGCTAACTTAAGGCTTTCTAAATTACCTACATGTACAAGAAACTGTGAGCTGGGACAGGAGGTGAGTGTTCTTCTAATGTACCTCCCTATGGAAATGGGACTGTTGCCGTCTGGCATTATCCACTCTAGCACTTTTTTTTAAGGTTAATTTGAAATCACCTAAATAATGTGCATTTTCTTTTTTTTTACCCCGAGGAGTTTACTTACTGATTTGCCATTAGTAAGAAAGTGGTCCTGGATTTCAGCCAAAAATCTTAATTTCGTTTCACAACTCCTTGAAAGACACCCTTGTAGTACTTGAGTACCTATGCAGTTTCCATAAGGGTACTGAAAAATCCCTCAGAAAAAAAACCTAACAGCAATCAGAGAAGTTGAATGCCAGCTGAGCCAAAAGATCTTTCGGTTATTAATGAATAGTTTCCAGTTTGGAGCATTAAGCAATTTGTTAACTTGCAGTAGAGCCACTCACAAGTGGTTTAATTTATCTTGCTGGCAAGCATCTAGTTCAAGGGGGCAACGGTATCTGCTCCAAAATGAGCAGACAGTCTCCATATGGAACATTATTACTTATAAGGATGATTTTTGTATCATTTAGATCACTAACGATGGCTTCCAGTACAGTAATTCCAGAGTGCTGACCCTGTACGACGCAGTCTGCCAGGCCTGCCAATTCCATCCGACCGGACTTTGTAAATTAAAGGTAATTTAAAGAGCATAAAGGTTTAACATGGATCGTTCATCTCTTCCTTAGCCCTCTCCCTCCCTTTGATGTACTGTGTGTAATAACTGCTTTAGAAGAGGAAAATCTATTTCATAGGTCAGCTGCACAGCCTAACACTTTTCTCTCCTTCACAATCTCCTGTCTGTGATTTTTTTTTTCCCATTTACGTGCGGTATGAATACCTGATAGACCACGCTTTATGATGGACCTTTCTCAGACACACACTTCCAGAAAGACCATGGTTGACAATATTTGTACTTTGCAGCTGTTAATGGAAGTAAATAAGACCGAGGAGTCTCCCCTGAAAGGCAGCTTGACTTCACTTTTGAAGTGTCTCTGCTCTTATACCTCTCCTAGCCTGTTTGGCGAGGGCACTGTAACAGTAAGGTATATCATTTCTATACCCATTTTCTGCCTTAGCAAGAGGTATACTAAGATGCATGTTATATATTTTTTGTCATGTGAAAACACCCTTGAGAGAACATAAAACATTCTTGCTTACATTAAACACCGCTAAGTGTTTCAAAACTGTAATCAAAAGTCTAGTGCCACGTTTTAAACTGCCAACATGCTAGGAGCTGCCTGGAGAGCACTATAACCCTCTGTTTTCCTGCGGACTTATTAGTGTAACATCCCCCATCCCTGAGAAAAGAGCTTCTCTGCTCTTATTTTCTAGAGAGACGTGTTAGACACCTTTTCTGGTTTTCAAACCAGTGGGGCTTCAAAAGGAACTTTTGGAGGGTGTTGGGTGGGATATTTGAATGTGCTGAACCTGCTTTCCCACCCTGAGGCAAGTATGAATGGAGACCACCAATCTGCATTTTCATAAAATGAAGATTAATCAGGTATATCTTAACTCATTTGCCTCACTGTTCTCATTAACACTAATGGGAAAATACAGTTTTCAAACTTGCACTGATTGCAAGAACATACCAGTTACCAAAATAAAAGTTCACATTTTTTCAAATAAATCAGTGAATAGAAATTACTTTATAAGCCCAAATGAGGGCAAAACCACTTAAATTTCAGATTAAAATGATTGTGTCAGAACCATTTCAATTAAAGTTAGGGTGGGTTTTTTTTGTCAAAGGCTTTCCTTATTCTTACATTTTTGAAACTCAGAAATATCTATGTTTTCTCAATATGCTGGTGTTCTCTAGGTATTGTAATAATTTCTATCCTAATATGCTTCAAGGGACTATTTGAACTAGGCTTCCAATTGCATCAGACCACATTCTAATTACCCTTCTTATAACATTATTTTCTAATACCTAAATTGCCTTCAGAAAAGGTGTTTCAATTAGGGGACATTTTATACCAAGCCATTTCACATTCTGTGTTCTTCTTTTGTGGAGCCCATTCTGTACCACACTATCACATCAGAAAAAAAGCATCTTTTTCATCAGAACATCAAGCCTTTAAAAACAACAATGTAATAAAATCTAATTAACATCCAGATTTTAATGTTGAAAATCTGTCACGTTCTATCATGTCAGGGCAATTATGAGAGTCCTTTTTGTTTCTCTACCTTACCCATTACTCTTAAAGTGCTATTTTTTAAAATATTGACTAATACACTTTGCAAAAGAAGTTTGAGAAACTAATAAAGCAGTAGATAGAAACCACAAGGCCAGTATCAGGACACACATCAGTCTCAGAAAAGCAATGTGTATTCAAAGGAAGGAAAAGGAAAAGTGTCTTTGGTCCTGGTAGCTTCTCCCTCCTGCTGTCCCACTGTAGCAATGACATCCCTGTGTTTCCAACAGTGCCCCATGTTTTGCTGGGATTCTGCAAGGTCAGATAAAGTCCCATCTGCAGGTGTGCCCCAACACAGGCTACAAGCAAAAGGCATAACTCTGCCATAGGACCTTCCCGCAGCGTAGATGTTTAATTATATCTGTATTATGTCTCTGTGTTCGTTTCTCAGACAACCCAAGTGTCTTCAGCCCATGTGGAAGCCACAGGGCCTCCCTGGCCCTGGTGGCCACCCTAACTAGAAGAGGACCAAGTTGGCCTCAAAGGCTGCTGTGCCCACAGTGTACCACATGAACTTCTGCTGGGATGTTCTGCCCGACCTAGGCACCATCGATGTGTTTAGCTGTTGTTTACAATAGTCTCATGGAAGCCTAAAATCTAATGCACTTTTTTATTCTGGTTTTATATCATTGCTTTTTCATATTTTTATTAAGAACCTCCAAAAATAACTAAGTTACCAGCACAGGATTCCAAAATCTCAATCGGAGCTTTTATCCGGTCTCAGTTTTTGTTAGTCTCATGGAGCTCACTTTTGAGCGTTACCTAATAATCATCATACTGGCAGTCGCAGCTGGGAATAATGACCACATACACTACATAAGTGTGGAAATGAAAAAAAAAAAAGAATTACATTCTGTTGCATTCATTTATGACAAGCAACATGACATGTTGCCTAAGCTAAAAGATTCAAAGCTACAAGGATCTCAAACTGAAACTGGAAAACTTACATGTCTTGTTTACTCCCTGTTGGGAGAAAGTACCAACATTTAAACTGCTACTATTTTATTGTTTCAAGAGACAAGTGAGATTCTGCTTATCTCCAGAAATTATTAACTGCTGATTTCTTATATTTCTTATTTCTTTTTTTCTTACCTCCACCTCCCACCCATTTTTATTTCCTTTTTTGGCAGGAAAATACTTGTAATATAGATGGACTTTGCTATGGTGAAGGAGAGTCAAGCCCCACCAGTCCTTGTCTTCTCTGTGAACCTGACATTTCTAAGTTCACCTGGTCTATTAATGAAAGTAAGACAGTTTTTTCTAAGATTTAGAAGCACTTAGTGGGAATTTATGACTCAGTCTATGAAATACATTTTTCCTTCATTTGGCTAACACGAATCTATCCTGCACAATAGTGCATGTGGACTGTTTGCAATGGGAATACTTGGGTGCACCAGAAATGCAGACTGACCAGAAGCAGACAGTACTCCACTGCGTGCTCTATGCATCTGGGCACATATCTTGTTCTGGCTGAAAGCTGACAAATCTCCAATTAATAAAACCAAAATAACACCTCAAACTGAAACTGTTGATATGCCAGTGCCCCTTGCAGTGCCCAAGTCTGTCAGCTAAAGGTGATGGACCTTAAATACATTGGTCATCATCTCACAGGTACGAATCTTTAAGGGAACAATTTGGGGAAAACACAGCTTTTAAAACACTAATGTATATTTTTGGTATCTGGAAGAATTGTTTTCTTTCCCTGAGCCAAATCCTATGAAATACCACACGAAAGACCTTGGCTTGGCAGGAAGTCTAAGTGATAGGGATCAGCCACTCATTACCTTCACTGCCGCAGAACCTAAAGGCTCATCCTGCAGCCCGTCATGGCAGGGGTCATGGAGAAGGCTGCCTTTTGAAGCACCTCCTGAATGCTAAGGCCTTAATCATAGCTTTTTCATGGCTACATCCCCAGTGTAAACAACAACCATTACTTACCGCATGCTTTACAGATAATCCATGTTTCTAGCAGCATTATCCTCACAGCACATCTCCCCACTTACATGAGTACATTTGCAACCAGTCAATATAAAGATTATAGTAACCCTTTTATGTAGATTCATGAGTTGGCTCTAGAAAGAGTTTCTCTGCACTTTTAGGTTCTGTAAACACAAGCAAATTAGAGAGAGGTATGAGAGTGACAGGACCAGTTTGCTTTATTTGTTTGCAGTTTTATATTCCTTTAGGGTGATTAGGTCAGCAGTACCCTTCTGGAAGGAAAGGAAGATTGCTCTTGTCCTTGGTGAACAGCTGGGAATGCTCAGGGACAGAGACTCCTTGAAAGTGCAAGGTATGGCAGCAGAAACAGCGAGAACTGTAACACAATGGCTGGAGTCTATAACTCCAGTGGAGACACTGCCAAGGACAGAAGTGAGCAGAGACTCTCTTCTCAGAGGTGACAGAAATGCCTTTAGAAGGACCAGAAAGGACCCAACAGTTTCCAGGAACACAAGAAGTCATGAGTTATCTGAAATCAATTTTGGAAGCAAGAACAAAATAGGAAGGGAGAGAGTTGTTCATGAGTCCTTTTAATTCCTGTTCCAGGCCATCCACTTTGAATTTTCTCTATTTAAAAACATACATTTCTAGTCTATGTCCTAAAAAATACAGCTTTTGGAATTTAAAACTCCCTGTCAGGAAAAGGTATAGGCAGATCCAGCCCAAGTGTTGGTGAACTAAAAATCCCATTGGATGTTACTTGCATGAGTAGTTAAAATGCCTACAGGTAAGCCAGACCTGAAGAAGAGCTTGTACACCTGAAAGTGTATGGTTTTTTCCCCCAAGGATATAGTTTAATCTAATGAGAGATCTGATTATCTGACTCACAAACCTTGCCTTTTTTCTGTCCTTGCATTGTATTGGCCACAGCAGTAGCAGCTCTAGAGATGAGCTGATCCTGATTGTTATATAGACAGACTCGTTACTAATACCGAGACAGTTAGATTTTAAAGTCCAGAAAATGGCTTAAAAGGGAAAAACTGCATTTGTTTTGGAATTTATAAAGCTAGAAGTGATTTGGGAAGTCTGAAACAGATCGTGATTCACTTTTCAGTAGTTTAAAAATTTAAAAATATTGAAAAGAAAGGGATTGTCACACTTGATTTCAAAATTGTGAAAACCTTTTTAAAAGTTCTGCAATAATTGGGTGTATGTATATATTCACTGGATGGCAAGGAGATCTTTGTGGAATTACAAACACTATTATGCACAGCCTACTTTCAGAACATCTGATTTTATGTTGTTTTGTGCCTACAACTTCTCGTTACCCTCCATCCAGTTAATACCTTTGTGTTTATCTGTAAATGCATAGCCAGCATCAATATTTCATTGATTACTCTGGGCACAACTTTTAAGGGCTCCATAGTTTAAGTGTTTGGGAAATAAAAGGTAAATTAATAGATGGAAGCCTTCAACAGTTATGCCAGGACAATCTGCAGGACAAGCAGTTTAGAAAGCTCTGATAGCAGAGCAGCAGTGAGTGGAGAGACACATTTAAATAATTGCATAATGTGAGACATGCTATGGAAAGCAAAGTTTGATAAAAGGATATGCACCACAAAAAAAACCTAATGATGACTTCCCACAAGCATAATGCAAGGACACATGCAGTCCTTATGAGAACACATATATAGTTCATAGTTTCAGAGTGTGACTTGAAATTAATCCTCGGTATTAGAAATGTTCTTTAAGTTAAACGTAACTGTGGTCATATTACATTGTGAGAAGATTCCTTTAAATATCAATACATGTCAATTTGCACTGCTGGTTAAAGAGGAAAGATGGCTTGAGACTGAGGAGGCTTAGGACATGGAGACGAAATTCCCGGCCCTGCACAGAGTTGCTGTCACCTCAGGGTACTCATTCAATCTTACTTTTCCTCGGTTTCTAATTTTAAAATGTAATACTTTTCTCTACCTTGGCCTTCTTACCTATTTATAGTGTAAGTATCTTCAAGTAGCGTTTGTCTTCTACTGTAAAATAGCCTTGTACAATTAGGCTTTTATCTTCATTAAGGAAATACTGAATGTAAACAACAACACTCGAAATAACAATGCCAATGGTGACATGATATGCACTACTGTCATTGGGGATAAAGAATCTGAGCATCACTGATGTACCTCTGCTGGCACTGTGAAGATCTTTATTCCTGATGAAATGCCCACCTGAATTCAGTCAAACTGCTCAGGCTTAATTACTGCTCATGTGTAAAGGCAGGAGACTCTACTCAATGGAAGAGTTACACAATCTTTTTCCCCCCTGAGTTGCCCACTCAAATTCATTTGTCATTCATCATTTTGAAATTTAGTTTACTTATATTTAAATGGATAGATAGATAGAGTGGTAGATAGGATAAAAATATATATATATATATATGTAAGTATTAGAAATACAATTAATTAAAGTTTTAGTAAGAATTGGGGGACTAGTGGGAGGTTACAGAAGTCACGTCTGATCTCCTCCCATGTATCAGATAACACATAAAAAGTAATCAAAGTTCAGTATGGAAGAAAAGTTCAGTACGGGGCATGAAAAAAATAGGAGGAAAAAGGTATACTTTTTGTTAAAGCCATTTGCTGCCTCTAACATCTATATCGCTTTCTCTGTACCTTTTTCCTTGAGAGAACTCCTACAAAGACCCACGCTGTGAATCTTTACATGGGAGAAACTGGAATTTATGTAATCATGGTTTCATTTTTGCTGTTTAGACAACCTGCCTCCTGTGCTCCAGGCCCCCTCAAGCCAGCTGCTGACATTTGTTGGTGAGAATTTTGTTTACCAGTTAATAGCAGTGGATCCGGAAGGGTCAGCTGTGCTATTCATCTTAGAGGCTGGGCCACAGGATGCCAGGCTCTCTCCTGCTGGCCTTCTTATCTGGAAAGTTGATTCAGAAGAAATGCAGACCTTTGAATTCATTGTGTCGGATGAATGCAATGCACAGAGCAGATACTCCATCGAGGTAAGGAAATGAACGCTTTAAAGGAAAAACAAAACAAACCTGTTTATCATGTCAGTGCTTTGGTGCAATTGTCATTATAGCTAATAATTTGTTACTGTCTTGAAAACTAAGACTTCAGCTATTTCCTCATAAGTGTATATTATCCAGCACAGCAATAATGATCAATTAATGGAATAAATATCTCTGAGAACGTAGAAACTATATATACAAGGAACAAGAGAGAGTGCTATTGATTGCTGTTTGAAAGAACACTCTTGCAGAGCCTTTTAATGGTTCATTAATCTGCTTTAAAATTCACATTCTGCATTTGGATTGCAGAAAAAAGCATATAACATAAAAGACCAAGTTTTAGCTATAAAAGGGAGATTATAACTCATTCTCAACGATATTTTTAGCGGGTGTCTTGCTCTTATGTCATTACTCCACACTTTAAGTTTCTTGGCAGAGTTTGTGCATTGCTTTGTCTTTATTGTATAGCCTAACATTAATCCTGCGATAGGATGAGCTAATAAAGTGGGATGCAGACTCTTGACATAAGAACAGTTCTGTGAAGAAAAGAAAAGGTTTTTTTTCCTAAAGATTCCAATTTTTATTCATTCAAACCACTATTATAAAAAATACCAATCTGCTGAAACACAGCAAAGGGGAAACTGGCGTCTAGATATGGTCTTAAATGGAAACATTTCAAACCAGACTTGTGTTACAGAGGTTTGAATCTGTTGAAATGCTGTTCTTGTACCTATGTAAAATAAAACTATGGACCTCTCTTCCCTGAAGAGAGAGACCAGCTAAGGAATTCCACAATCATGTTCCTGCCTGGGAGCCATTTGTAATGTGAAACAGTAAGGAGGGCAGGCAAGCAAAGAGAAAAGATTTTTCATTTCTTCTTTGAAGAATAAGGAACAAATTCTGCCCTCAGATACTATGTAAAAACTTCTGTTTTAACAAATAGGATTTTTTTCTTATGAGAAGTTAGAATGTGCCCCTAAATGATGAAAAAAAAATCCCTTTAAAGTCAAGCTTTCAGTCAAAAAAAAAGTATGCTGAGTATGAGACTATCTATCTATACAAAGGAAATTGGTTAGAAATAAGTTTTCATAGTATTAGATAACATGTTTGCAATGCAAATCCGTCCCTTTCTAAAAGGTGACAATATACCTCTCCGCTGTGATTATTTGGAGGAATCTTACCACAACTCCCTTTTGCCTTCCTCAGGTTGGAGTGAAGCCCTGCAGCTGCCTCAATGGTGGAACATGTGTTACCAATATTAAATTCCCTCCAGGCCTTGGTGAATACCTGTGCTTATGTCCAAATGGATTTGATGGAGAATTTTGCCAGGAAAATATTAATGACTGCAAGTCAAACCCCTGCGGCAGCGGAACATGTGTGGAGAGTGTAGATAGCTACTTTTGTAAATGTCCCCCTGGTTTGGGAGGTAACACCTCACTGTTCCCATTTCTGATTTAACTAGAGATATATTGTGCTACACGATTTTTTGAGTGCAACATGACCACAAGCATCTGTCAAATGGTCTACATAAGCCTTCTCTTCTGCTCCCATGACTTAGCTTTAGACAGATAGAAAATGTGCAACACCAGCTATCTAATTATCCATGCTCAAGGAAGGAAAAATGACCTAAAGCTCTGTGGTCCTGAAATGATCACTCAAGGAGGCTGTGAACCTCCCTGATCTCAGTTTTCACCTGCTTATTTCCCATGGATTTGTCCATCCATGAGATGAGCTAGAAGAAGACTTAGTGGAAGAGAGAAGAGGCAAAGATCCAGGAACATTTTGCACTCCGTAGGATCTTACTAAATTAAGCCAATGAAAGAACTGGGAATTAATTATTTTTCTAGGTCTAGGAAGGAGAAGCAGATATTGAAAACATGCAAAAATAAATTGTCCTTTAGTCCCACTTGAAGCTTCATTAAATTTAAGCATTAGAAAACCACAAACCTGTTCAGTTTTCAGACATGTTAATGGAACAAATCTAACCTTTTACACTGTTCAGGGCTGGCCACAATATGATTTTAAGAGATGCGGGGAAGAGGGATGATCATTGCACCAAAAAAGGTTCTTTTAGAAAAGCAGAATGAAAAGTATGAAGAGAAGGAGTCGGAGAACGAAGGGCAGTGAGGCCGAAAAGGGGGTTGCAAGACATACAGTGCAAACAGGAAAACCTGATACGTGAGGAGAAAGAGAAGCATCTAATAGATAACATAGATGAGGAGAGAACATGTTGGTACCTATCATGCAAGTTATAGTCAGCTTCACTGCATTCAGGACATCTGTGAATGATTCACACACATGAAACAACTTGTGACAGCATGCGGACAACGACTCCCCTGTGCTCTGCAGACTGGAACCAGCAGAGCCAGCCATTAGACTCTCTGCTGCATTAAGCTTCTGGAGTTTGGGTGAGCTGAGTGGCTGTTGGGTCTCACAGAGTGCTTACCACCTCCTCCAAGCTGGGACCCACGCTCCAGCTGTGCATAACACCACTCGCTTCCAACGTAACAGAGTTTCACATTGGCCTAAATGCACCTTCTCCTGGAGTTTTATGGAAGTTGTAGTCTTTTCATTTGCAGTTCAGCTCTTCAGGAGGTATAAGGCAAATCTGAACATTCAGGACCTGAACAGGATTTCTAAACCTGGCTCTTGCTTAGCTTTGCAGACAAAGGGCCAGTTAAAATAACAGTCATTGGAAAGTAAAGACATTATTTTGCTATCCATTCTTGTTAAATTAGTCTCCCACAAGTGAAAGGTGCTAACTGAAACTGTGTTAGAACATCTCTTGGATCAGAACCATTTCAAAAGCAGAGTAAGAAAAAAACACCTTAAGCTGAGCTCAGATTTCAGTCCTTGAACCTGTCAAAAACCCTACTCTGTTCACATACAAAAGCATGAATGAATTCATGAGACCCATAATATTGGCTGCTGTGTGATGCTGTAGGTTTGAAAAATCCAGTAGAACTAACATCAAATGCACATAATTATTACTGCTTATAGTGTGTATATATAGAAGAAACTCAATTATAAACAAGAGCAATGAGCAGATTTTACTCAATGGGCTCATAGAGGCAGCAAGGTACCCTTTCTGCCTTTCAGCAGTTCATGAAACCTTCTTTGTTTTGGTCATGTGGGTCTGCAAGTCCAGATTTCATTAACTATAAAATTCCAGCAGAAATGAAAACTAAAAAACATTCAGAAGTGGAAGTTCAGAAAAATGGCCTAAAAGATGTATGACACATAGACAGTATTGACTCCAGGTAA